GTGCCGATATTTACACAATATTTACACTTCGCTCTGCATGTGAGTGGTCGATTGATTTTGTCTGGTGATCCGCGTGCCGATAGCGGAGCTCCTCATGGAGCTGCGAAGTTCACTTGAAATCGCCGTCCCAAGGAGGCATGCAACGGCACATCGTTCCGTGCAAAGGAAGGCGACATCCAGTTGCATCCTACCTGCGTTTCGTCCGATGCTTGCCATTGGAAGGGCATTGACATTGTATTGGTGCATGCGTAAGCATTTGGGGGGCTTCGGTCAGTGGCTGACATTCCACAACGTTGGGGGACTCTAAGTGGTTAACTGCTCGCTCGAAATTCCCGTGAACTCGGTGTAGGACATCCAATATCAAGTACTAGTACGTGACATGCATCACCATCTTCGCGCGTTGTTGCCTCCCTGTCATGACCCTTGTGGTGCTTCAAGGAAAGGTCAACTTGTATGAATTGGAACCAAGCAATTCGCCAGTCGTGGCTTGTGTTTGACCTGAACGACAGCAATACTCGACTGGAAACGTGTTCAAGTGCAATTTTGTCGTGCTCATTAGAGAGGTTTTGAAGGAGTCCTTTCCTTTCCTGTTCTGCTTCCCGCCATCTGCTCGTTTCAAAACTCCCATTTTCCTTAGAGAAACTCCCGAGAGTCTATATTTAATCCTTTCCCACGACCTCTGATAGGAATACAATCTTTTCCCACTCAAGATGACCATGGCAACCCCATTGAAGCGGCGTGCATTCAATGAGCGGGAAGAAATCTTGCTCCTGACTCAGGTATCAGTGAAAGACCGCATATTGCACGAAGAGGCCGCATCATGGAAGTGTGGGATTCAGTTGTGCGTAATCTTAACACACTCGACGAGTTCAATCGACGCCACTTCGATGGTAAAAGTGCGCAAGCACGGTTCAACCTGCTTCTCCGAGACCACAAGGAGAGGAACGTTGCATCACATCGGGTTTCGGGATCCGATGAAGTTGTAGACGAGCGTATTGTGCTATTGGACGACTTGAGCTCGCAGGTTGAAGTGGCCAAGAAAGAAGAAGCGGATCGTGCAGACAGTGAGCGGAGGTAGCAGCTCGTGCTGTGGAGTCTGCTGTTTTAGTGCGAGAAGAAGCAATGAAATCGCAAGGCAAGCGCAAGAATCGTGAAGGTGACGATGAGGCTGCAGGTGGCAAGATGTTCAAGGTCCTGACGCTGATGAATGATGCGAACAAGTGTGAGCTGGAGCTGCGGAAGTTTATGTTCGAAAAGGAGCTCGAAGACAAAAAGAGCGTGAGGTGCAAGCCAGGCAACGCGAGGCCCAAGCTAAGGAACGTGAAGCACAATTGCAACAACTCCAACTACTTCAGTCATCCATGACTGCTTTGATTTCGACACTGGTAACAAACTGTAAAAATGGCACTACTATATTCGTTTACACATCAACTACCTCTACAGTATCAAGGTACTCTGGTGGTAGTTCATTGAAGTACATACTGATTTGATTTCCCCCGGAATGGCTACAATGACAATTCGTGATTAGCATGGCCACGCCAACAATTTTTGCAACGGGTGATAGAATGAGTTTCGAAAGGTTTTTGAACGTAATGTAGGGCCACAAAGTTTTCATGACCTTGAAGTTCCATTCCACGGCTTGTCGAACTCGACTCATGGACTTGTTGAAGTTCTCTTTCTCGGGGGTCATATTGATGCCACGATATCCACTCATTATGTACTTGGTCACACCATAAGCTGTTCAAGTGCAATTTTGTCGTGTCTATTGATTCTGTCTGCGATTCTGTCGTTGGTCGTTCTAACGACCCACACGGCCACGTTCGACCCCTTCTGCAAGGACTCCCAAGTTGGTCATTAACTTGTATGTTTCAATGGCGCATATTCTGCTCCCTCTCAGCCCTTTCGCTGTCTTCAAACTCATTCTTGCATACAGTTGGAAGTGTGGTGTTTGGCAGCTTGACGCGACTCATTGTCACGGTGCGGCTGCAGAGCCCCAGCCCTGGCTGGACTACGAGCCGGTCGAGACCCAGATCGACCCCCACGCCTCCGCGAAGGCCGCGTTGCCACCAAGTCCTGGCAAGACTTGGTGGCAACACCCAGACCCTATACACCCCCCAGATCCGAAGACCAAGACCATCGTCCGAGTATTGCCGATCAACCCAAGACGGAGATCCCTCAACCGTCAACCGACGAGCAGTAAAACCTAGAGCCTTAGAACTACGGCTACAACCACACCTTTAACTAACTCGACTTCACATTTTGCCTCGAACTCCACCAAGACAGTATGGCGAAAAGGCTCGGCAATTCGAGCCGACGAAGAAGCGTGACGGCGGTGCGTCTGTGAAATCACCGTTGACGACCGCGGCAACGTCGTCTACTGGAAACGGCTGCCTGAAGTGTGTCAGCGACGAACACCGGGGTATTCAAGTGCCCCAAGATGCAGCCAGGTGAAGCGTCTGTTGGATCAGCGCTTCCAGAAACCTCACGGGGCGTCGTCCGCAGCATCGGAGAAGAGGAACGACGCCAAGCGCAA